TGCTACTAGAGCTAGATAATTCTAAAAAGATTAAACTTTAAAAATAAAATAGAAAAAAAAACTATAAAAAAAGTAACCTTTAAGAATAAAGCTAAAATAATAGCTCTAGCACCTATAAGAACCTGGTAAGAAGGCTTATTACTAACTTTTTTAGATAACGCCCTGCAAGATAAATAAAAGACTAAGAAAGATATAAAACTACTTTCTATAATTACCGCCCTGCTAAGAATAGTATATAAAAAAGACCCTATTTTACTATTAGTTCTAAAAGCCTTAAAAGAAGAATACTGCTATTATATAAAGCTTATATTAGCTAAATACTAGAAAAAAGGTAGATACTTATACTATTAGAACTGCCTATATATACCCGACTATAATAAACTAAAAATAGAACTTCTGCGTATATACTATAGGAACGCTATTACCGGCTACTTTAGAAAATCTAAAATATATAGCCTAATAGCCCGCAGTTACTATTAGGTTAGGAACTACTAGATATATAAGAAAACTACTCTATTATAAAAAGCCTACTAGGGTATTTTAAAGCTGCTACCTATTCCTAAGAAAGCCTAGCGTAATATATTAATAGATTTTATTATATACCTATTATATAGCGGAAAGTATAATATAATTCTTATTATAGTAGACCGCCTAACTAAAATAAAACACTTTTTTACCTGTAAAGGGACCTATAATACGGAAGATATTATAAGACTTTTCCTAAAGAATATCTAGAAACTATATAGCCTGCCTACCTCTATTATATCTAACTAAAGGCCCTAGTTTATAGCTAAATTCTAGAGATACCTAACTAGCCGCCTAAAAATTAACTGCCTACTATTAACTATATACTACCCTAAAACTAATAGCTAGACTAAAAAAGCTAATACTATTCTAGAATAGTACTTACGGGTATATATATCCTATTTATAGGATAACTAGGCTAAATAGCTACCTTTAGCTAAACTGTTAATTAATACTATAAATTCCGAAAACACCTATATTTCCCCCTTTTTTATAAACTATAGCTTCCACCTATATCTAGGTTTTAAGCCGGTTAAACTATTAACCCGCCCGCCTGCTAGAAATGCTAAGCGCTTTACTAAGCGTATAGAAGAAATTCTAGAATATCTAAAGTCTAAACTTACTACCTTCTATGCCTAATATAAGAATAATATAAACTATAACTATTGCCCTGCTTATAACTATTAAGTTAACAACTTAGTATAGTTAAATACTAAGAATATTAAAACCCTTTGCCCCTAAAAGAAGCTAGATTAAAAGAATCTTAGACTATTCCGCGTAGAGAAGGTTGTTAGCCCTTACGCATACCGCCTAACCTTACCGGAGAGCATGCGCAACTACAACATCTTCCACGTTAGTTTACTAAGACCTGCCGCGAATAATCCGCTGCCCGGCCAGCGTTAAGAACCACCGCCGCTAGTTGAAGTCGAAGGCTTGGAGGAGTGGGAAGTCGAGGAAGTTGTCGACTCTCGATGGGAGCGTCGCGGTCGTGGCCGCCCCCGCCTGAAGTACACGGTGAAGTGGACCGGATACAACGAAGTCACAGAAGAGCCCGCTGACTATCTGGAACATGCCGAGGAAGCTATCCGGTCGTTCCATCGCCGTTACCCTGAAAAGCCCGGTCCTTAGGCCTCAACGGAGTTCGGCCGTAAGGAGGGGAGTACTGTCACGGCTTGAACGGTGAAGCTTGCTGCACAGCGTAACACGTAATGTTAGGACCCGGCGAGAGGCCTTGTTGCAAGGGCCTATGCGAGCCTTGGCAGGAGTATACCTGCCGACCGCCGCCCTGCCTCCTTATAGCTCCTTGAGCTACGTCTTGTTATTCAACCCGCCTGCCTGCCGTGCATTATAGAACACGTAGTGAATTCAGTTATTACTTCTACCTACCTGCCCGAGCTAGCTAGGGCAATCCTGCCGCCCGAGACCGTAACAATATCCTCCGGATTATTATAGGTAGGTGATAACCTCTCGCTAGGGCTATAGCTATAGTATTAAGGTGGGTAGAGCATCTGGTACGGCGGTGGAAACTAACTATAGGGCGGTGCCTGCCTATAGTAATACGGGTACTGCACTAGGGCAGGTGCTGGCTAAGAGGGCTGCACCTGCTGCGGCAGCGCGGGCGCCCCTCTCTTTCTCTTCTCTCTGGCCTTATTATTGGCTAGCTGTAGGACAATTTAATGCAACGGCTTATTAACTATAGAGCTTCTACTACGGATTTCTAGGTTCTAAGCTTATAGAAAATCTCTATTAACTTTATAGTAATTCTGTAGAAGATCTAAGCTAGTAAACCAGTATATATAGGTTTTATTGCCGCAGTTTATATTTATGCAGCTCCACCGCTAAGCAATAGTAATAATAAAGTTGCCAGTAGCCTCCTCTACTGCTACTCTATTACCTATAACTAAGGCCTGCATCTATATAGCAGTACGCCGGCTAGTTTAAAGTGTAGATAGAGTAATAGATAAATAATAAGGTGTATATTAAGAACCGGGTATTACCTAGAGGGTTCCTTCTATACTTATATAGATAGTCTTGTCTAGCTATATATATATAATAGCTGTTAGATCCAGATAATATAATTGCTTAGGCTATTTAGTTAACCAGCTCTTAATTAAGTCCTCCAGCTCTAACACCTGCCGTTCGCCCTTTACTTTAGAACTTATAACCTAGGCCTTTAGAAGCTTCTTATATAACGCCCGGCCCTATATTATAACAATCTTATATACCTGGCCTATAGGCAGTAGAGGGAAGCTAACAGTCTCCTCTCTAACCTATTCTGTAAAGGCTAGGAACAGTAAATTGCTAAGTAGACGAGTAGTAGAGCGGTTGGACTCTGGTTCTTTCTCTCCTTCGATCTGAACTTCCTATGCACTTCCAATCTCTACACTAGGTAGTAGAGGTGGCAATAAGGGCGTCACCTCTACCTGCCTGTTGCGTATAGCTTCTAGTTGCTGTAGGAATGCGTCTTCCTTATTGCTAATATGCATAAAATTGCTTTGGGTTTATGGAAGTGGCGGAGAACTTGGGGCAGGCGGAGCAATAATCTTGGGTACAACTCGTGGAGCTTTCTGCTGCTTCTTCTCCTTCTCTTTACGCTGGCGTGCAGTAATTGCAGACTCTGCCGCCTTCTGGGAGGGCTTTCTAGCCCTCTTAGCATTCACTACTGGTGCTTTCCGGCGTCCTTTTTGGGCAGGAGGGGGTGGAGGGGGTGTAGCATCAGGATCCCCAGGCGGATCCCCGGGCGCACTTCGCTTTTGGTGGCGTGTATTTGTCATTGCAACCAAATAAAGGCTATACAATTGCCCTAATTAGGTATAGAGCATATTATAGAGGGCAGGGCAGTTACTTATTAAGGTATTTGACACGTATACGGCTGCGTGGTTGGGGGGGAAGGGGGTGTTCCATTTGATTTTGGGGGGGGAAAAAAAATATCGGCTACAGGGGGTGGGCGCGTGCATTTCGCAATCGACTCTATTGTGGCGGTGTGACTTGGAAAGTTTTTGTACCAACACATGAACCCTTCTTCGATCGGCTGAGAGCAGAAACGAAGCTTATCAAGAACTCTGATGATCTCCGCGCGAATATCAGTGGGATCTTTAGAGCTGATGTTTTCCACGTTAGTGAAACTTATCGTATGTTTCGGCCTGAAATTAAATTCGGGATCGCTGGAATACTCCCTAGAATCTCCGTTACTGGGCTCGTCCGGTACGCTCAACTTGCCTCCTCGTCCTGTTTGGCGTGCATGCACGAGATCCTTAGCTGCGCGATTGCCAGGGCTAGAGACCGCGTGCTGCGTTCCATCGGCTACCCAAAGACATAGCCTCAAGTCTCGTTTTCTTGCAATCGCCATGTCTTCGTCGTTTTTGATTAGATGCCATTTTTTCCGGCCTACTTTGGGTCCAAACTCGAACGTTTTAATGACTAGTTCGTTGGGGTAGCTTCCGTCCGGGTTTCCAGACTGCGGGCTTTTCCGTGCCCATTGCCGCTGCAATTCTTTGTGCAAGTCATTGTATCGAAAAGGCCATCTCATGGATACGAGGAGCCACGATCCGTATGTTCTGGACTCGAAGCACCCTTTCATCTTGAGCACAGGTTGATTCGTCCCAATGTACCCAGCAGTGTTTAGTCCAGCTGATGGATTTGTTTTCGCTCTACGTGAAAGCTCGCTCCCTCGGTATCTCATCATTGGAAGAGTCTATGTTGACGATCGATCTAGAACGTGATGCACTAGATATTTCATGCTGCGTCGACGAGCTAATGTCACGCCTGCTACTACTCCTTGGTCCTAATACCGAGGAGATTGCTCTACTAATAGTTCTTGATCCAACTTTTGAGGAGACTGCTCTGCTGCTGGCCCTTGGACCAACCTCTGAGGAAGCTTCTCTGCTACTAGTCCTTGGACTAACTCCTAACGAGGCTACCCTGCTACTGGTCCTTGGACTAACTTGTGAGGAGCGGTTGCGTCTTCCACGTTCACCGGTCCCCCTGAGATATGGTGGAAGATGCAGAGGACGGTGATAGATAGGGTCTTTGATGTCTTCATGTGCTGCATCATGCTTTTCTAGATGCATTCTAAGCTCAGGATTCGCTTCCGTACGGCCGTTATCCCGGACCCAGTCCGGCTGGGGCTGTTTGGACACCTCTGCGATGACTGAATTGCTGCGGTTGGGAATATATGGATGACTAGCTAGAGATAATCTTGCCTCAGCCTCCGAGCTATCCTCGGGCGCGCCCAATGGTCGTTCGAAGTAATCGGAAGAACCGCTGAACTCCGATTCGTCGTCATCTGCTAGGCACCAAAGACCAGTATATACCTGGCCACTTTCAACGGAAGTGATGATTTCAACCAGCTGCGAAGCAGACGGCCGCCTCGTCGCATTGGCCTGTAGCATGTCGCGAATCCGAGCAATCGGGTGATTCAGACCCGGCTCTTCGTTGAGCTTTTCCAACCACGCTTGCAACGCCTCTGGGTTAGTCTAAGGGTTTGTGCCGCTCGTAGACTTGTTGCTGAAGAAAGACTTCCGATTCTCGTCCATGTCGCCTTTGAGGATAGTAATCATGTCGAGGAAGACGCATCCAAGACTCCAAACGTCGCTGGAGAGTCTGCGAGGTGCATAGTCAACCACCTCTGGAGTGGCGTAAGTTGGAGTATAGGGTGCCGGCTTCCCAACAGTAGTGTCGCGGGTTTTGTCATTGAAATCTCTCGCTGTACCGAAGTCTGTCATTAGAATGGTATGGCCTTTGACTAAGATGTTCCCGGGCTTGATATCCTTGTGTCTGACCTTGTTGTTGTGTAGATATTGCAACGCGGTTGCTAGACAGCGAAAGAAAGAATGCAAGAGAATGCGATCATGTTCTGGGAACAGTGTGCCGTTGCGGTTTAGAAATCCACCCCGATCACAGTCAACGACGGGCGAGATGAGCAAACAAATATACTTAGGATCGGTGTACGATGCAACGTATTGTATGAGATGTGGATGAGATAGTCGCTTCAGACTTCGAAGTTCGTTTCAAACATTCGAATGATTTCCCTGTCCTTGGAGAGCGCGCGACTGCGTGAGGTGATCTTCCGCTTTTGAACGTCAGAAAGATGGAGAAGAAACGGACAGAAAGACCAACGGCGTATTCTTCCAAGTTCAGCTTCAGCCTAACATGATCAACAGCGGCATGGCCACCTTGTCCAAGCGTTGTGGTGATCTGAAAACAGCTATCACCGCTCGTTCCTTTGCAATGTCAACAATCTGATTTTAGTTTTGATCACGTGAAAGAGCTTACAAAAAAGGACATGCTGTCTACCAACGATCTCTAACTCCTTGGTTTTGGTAAGGAGCATATCTTGCTTCTCGATAAAAGCGAACCATGAGCTTCCCGTTAGTGATGGTGGTATCCTAGGCTCGGTGTATGGGAAATGGCTGTCGAGTAGGCCTTCTAGAACGAACTCGTTCATTACATCAACACGGTTGATCATTCGAAGGATTGTATATGTCCTCGGCCTCTCCCTCCAAGTCTTGTTGCCTACGTCTTCAAGCAGTCTCGACATGCGATAGAAGCACTCATCACGTCCGAGGCTCTCTGCTTTTTCGCCTCCATTTCACAGATGAGATATGAGGCTCCATGTTCGAACTCTTCGATGTTGATACTGTCGGTGGCCATTCTTTGCCCATACAAGGGAGGCGGTAGAGTGATTGTCGCCTGGTACAGTGTTTATGGAGATAACTGGGTGAGTGAAAGCGGAACGAGGAGCTGGGGCCTTGGTGGGGCTTTGGTTTTGCTCAGCCTGGTCGACGATGTCTCTTCTCATCACCCTATAGGCGCATTACAGACTTTTGTGAGTAGCATGCGGCAAAGACCTAGTCACCACCAGGAAACCGTGCTACCAATGGACAATGATGTCTTGATAATGACTAATTTGCTTCGCGACCTATACTCAGTGGAAAGCAGTGTTGTTCGAATCATAGTAACCCGAAAGAATTATTTTTCTAGCCACTTAGGATGACTGCCTATTGTTTTTCATGGCAAGTATGCCCTCTCGTACGTACGACACCGCTATAACCGTTGCAGCAGGACCGACACAGAGTACGCCCACCGTCATCATCGCAGCAGCACTTACCAGCGATAAGTCCGTTCTGCCAACCCGCTTCAAGTCCCAGAGAGTTAAAAACGCTCCTGCAACTACGGCGGTGAACATGATCTGGAAATCGACTTGGAAGATGTAATGTAGGGCTTCTGACATTGATATCTCGTTCCCTAGTGGGACCCGCCACAACGCATGCTTGAGGCTCATCTGAGGGCTCGAGGATAAGAGGCAAATGGTAATTATAGCAACGTGGGTGCTAGTTGTGATGGCGAAGCAGGTGATGTAGATGCGGTTGAGGTATTTTAGCGTGCCTGGAGGCTGGGAAGCTGTGGCCTTTGAAGTAGTGGGCTCCTTTCCCAAAGCAATGGAGATGATGAAGAGGAGGACGTTGACGAAAATCGGGCTGACCTGCCAAAGAGCAATGATACCCTGGGTAATATTGAGGCCTAGATCTGGAAACGGTAGATACATAAAGAAAGTTGGTAGTATGTAGCCAACGATGAGCGACGGGAGGAGCGTCTTTGCGTACGAAGTTGGTATTCTTTGCGATACAGGCGACCAATAGTCCGGCCGAGACGAATCTCGTATGCAGAACAGATAGGAGAGCGGTATGATGATTGCCCCTCCTACGGTCTGGTAGAGCAGCGGCTAAATGGAGGTGCTATGAGGACGTGTCAGCAATACCTGGAACAGCAGAAACAATGGCAAAGACGTACAAACTGGTCACAGCTCGAGCATTCCCCTTCCTCCCGGCCTCCACCGCCCAAATTGCAATGATAGCTAAGCACGATACGATGAAGTAGATTTGCTGGATCTCGTAGCCTGGGTCCCATCCTGCTGCTGCTGGCAGGAACGCGGCTACGAGGAAACGTAGTCCAAGATCGAGAGGCTCGATCCCGGTATAGCGTTCCCGAAGGGGTTGTTTATTTGGGAATGTGAGAGAAGTGACGACGTCTTGAAAGGGTAGCTCCGCGAGAGCGGTCGCTGCGTCGCTGAGATGCATCAACTGCACAGCTAGGGCAGGTAGCGAGACAAAGAAGATAGCAGCGAAGTAGCCAGACCAGCCGCGGGAATTGAATATATTTGCCATGGACATGGATTCTTTAGAGCTGTGAGAGACGAGGGATATCTTTCGATGAGGCGGCCGGAATATCGGGATGCGCTCTAGTCTTTTTCTGTAATCTTTGAAGTAGTGAAAGAGGCGGCCTCTACTTTAATGCAGGGATGAGGATGATAGTTAAAGGTGTGAGGCAAAGGATGAAGTCGGGTAAACTTTTGCGAGAGCGAATGAGAGAAACCATCACCTATTTGTCTAGCGTGCCCCTATTCTTATCCCTGTCAAAATTTGACCAGTTGGTTCTTCGTCAGGCTCTAATAAATCTCTTTCTACTACATAACCACCATAGCATGCAGGAGACCTGTGTTTCGTGCCTTCTTTGCATTTTGATTATGTCCTTCGCAGGTAACGAATTGAAGTAGCTTAGTCACGTGTTCTTTCCGCATTCAGGCGCGAAGGCTTATCTCAGGTGCCTCAGACCCTCTACGAGGATATTGCCTTGCCTGAGTGCGTGTGGTTGGTGTTGGGCGTTGTGCACGTTGTGCACGTTGTGCAGAGAATTCTGCCAAAAAGGCGGTTCACGTGACGGGCAGGCCCATTCCTCGTAGAGGGTCTGAGGACTTTTGGGCACGGTTAATAAGGGCGACCATCTAGGACCTTTTGCGGTCGCATTCCACCACCACAGCTTGCCTTATTCTAAAACTTTGGGAGCTGCTTCCTTACACCTTTAAGATCTAGCTCCTAGGTTCTTAGGGTAAGGTAAGCTGTAGTGGTGAAATTCCATCTTAAAAACAGATCGAAATGGCGCGTGAACCAGTTACAAAAATGAACACACTTTTTTTGGCGCTGTAGTTCGCCCCCTAATACTCTAGGTAGTAGGGTATAAATATATAAATTAAGTATAAGAATACCTGAATATTCTATTGCATCGACAACGAAGAGCGTGGCTGGTTAAGAATACCCTATTCTTGTCCACTGAAGAAAGTTGACCTGTTGAAAAAAAACCAGCTTACACCAAGCCCGTGCCCAAATGTCCTCAGACGCTCCGCAGAGGAATTTAGGGTGTGCAGGGGGGTAGGTGGCAGGGGGGTGAGGGCGGTGTAGGGGGTAAAGTTGTGCACGCCTCAAATTCCTCAAGGGGCGGCTGAGGTTCCTGAGATAAGCGAAGGCACGCTTATAGCAAAGTTAGAGAAGGATACTTGAAACGAAAATCTTCATGTAACATCACGTTGGCTGCGAGTGCGCGGTACCGAAAAGATCCTTGTCGCTGAAGGGAGTGGAGTGACGAGGGTCTTCCAAACCTGCTAATGCAAAGTGCCACTCGCCGAAGCTATCTTGACAGGACCTTAATTTATACAGAATCTCGGAGGAGCCAAAAACAGATTACAGATGGTCCCGAGGGTAATATGATGGAGGTGTTAGCGAGGGATGCTTTCTCGGGTGAAGTTCGTTGAACCCTATGGCCCCTACTCTTGTTGCTCCTTCATAACCTACTGGGAACGTCTATCAACCTCTTATGAGATTGTAATCTGTGTCTTCACGCGCAATGAGCTGAAGCCTCTCCTCTATGCGCATGATTTCTTGTCTACATCGCAAACTTCATCGCAGAATCCGCACGCCGTGCCCATCAGCAATCTAGACTTTTTGACGTCGCTAGAATACGAGAATATGGCGGGAATTCCGAGTCCTATCGGAGGAGAGGGACAACGATCTTGGTGTCGGGTATTACGACCTGGGGCGGAGAGCATCCCGATTCGCTCAAGGCCTGAACAACGTTCTGAATCTCTATCGTCAAGATGGAAGAGCTGGAAGCTATTGTTAGGTTGAATTCAAATTGCGTCGCTCGGGGGCATATAAAGTCGTTGCTCAAACGACAGGACCGGACTTTCAAACGTTCGGACTGTGCTCTGGACCGTATTTCCTCGTGCTACCGACGGGAAACGGGCATATCGATACCCACGGTCTTCAACCCCACCGGAGGTCTTTCATGCCACATCCCCTCGAACAGCTCCATGAACATCACGACGTTGAGTGACATAGGAGCACTCATTTCCGCCATGTTGCTTAAGAGGGGAACTGGCGATTTTTGGCTTTGATACGCCGCCCCTTCTGAGGGCCCTTGTCGGTAGGACGTCTCTCCATGCCAGCGGCTTCTTGCCGTAGTGTACGCAAGGTTGAAGATTATTGATCTTGCTGAATGGGCCCCAGAGCACCCCGAACAGTGCCTTTCCAGCATCTGCGACGGTATTTGCCCGATCCACCTAAGCGAAGTACTCCTCCCTACCGTATACAGTTAGGAGTATGAGGATTACGAAGTAGATCTATGTGAGGACGACTGGTAATACTGGTGGAGTAGACGGTATTGTTGGGGGCGATTCTTTGACGGTGAAAGCGATTTTTTGAGGCGAAACAGAGGTAACGTGAATGAAAAGCCCGTCCGTCAAGCAGGTATCGGTGAAAGCATAGCGACCCGGTGCATAAAAGCCTCCGCCTCTAACGCTAGCTATTCCTTACAGCAACCACATCTCTTTCTACACCCCCACACGTCTACTCCTGATCAATCACACTTATATCAACCACACCTTTTCCGCCGTCACCACCGAATCCAACGAGTCCAGTGATTCCGCCACTACAATGGCGCCGCGCCAAACCCTTATAGAAGTCATCACGGGCTCGTGCACGCTTCTCACCCCTCACCGCTTATTCTTCCACACCCCACAACTCCACCAATTTTCAACAGATTTCTATTTAAAATGGATAAAATTGAAGCTGCAATCGCGGAGCTTCACCTCCAAGAGAAAACGAACATCAAGGCCATGGCCGACAAGCATGGGGTTGACAGAAGCACCCTCTCCAAGCGCTTCCGTGGGAAAACTGGTAGCAAGGCAGATGGATACAATTCTCAACAGGTTCTCACCCCTGGGCAGTCCAAGGCTCTTATTAAATACATCAACGACCTATCTAAAAGGGGGCTTCCTCCTACGCATTAAATAGTGCGAAATCTAGCCTTAGCAATAGCTGGGATTATGCCAGGAATCAACTAGGCTTCGCGCTGGGTCAAACAGCATTCAAAACACCTCAGATCAGGATACCTCCTTCCTATCGACAAATTAAGGAAGAGAGCTGATTCAGCGCTGTATTACAGCCTCTATATTGAACTCTTAGGACGAAAGATACAGGAATATAATATACAGCCAGGAAATACCTGGAACATAGATAAGAAGGGCTTTCTTATCGGTTAGATAAAGAAGAAGAGGAGGATCTTCAGCAGGAATACCTTTAAGTTAGGAAGAATACGCAATATTATCCAGGATAGAAATAGAGAGTGGATTACAGTAGTAGCAGCTATCTGCGCAGACTGTACGGCACTTTCTCTAACGCTTATCTATTAAGCTATAACAAATAACGTCCAGGATATATGGCTGGAGGATTTCGACCCCGACGAATATAGCTGCTTCTTTATATTAACACCTTCTAGATAGACTAATAATAACCTCGGCCTTTAGTAGTTAAAGATCTTTAATAGAAAGATAAAGGAAAAGGCTAGAAGAGATTAGAGGTGTTACGACGACGATGTATCGCACACGAGCACTAGATAAGCAGGCATCAGGAACGATCTAGATAGCTACGTACAGCTGTTATGATAGCTCAAGAGAATTGGCAAAGAGTCGGAGGCAGGCAGGACAGAGGCAGATCTATATACAGGATGTGGCGCACGCAAAGTTTGCTAGTGTGCTTGGCAGGCAGCTGTGCTCGCAGCATAGCGGTGTGTCGCGGTTAATACCGTGACAAGAGGCTTCTTATTATTAATAGGCACGGTTCTTACGTAAATATAAAGTTTATTAAGTACTGTTATAAGAATAAGATTCTCCTAGCTATCTATCCTCCTTATTTAACTCACCACCTCTAGACGTCTTTCTCTTCTCTCCTCTGGCTATTTACTACTTAACTAAATTAAACCGGTTTATTTTAAATTCTAAAGGATTCTTACGTTTTATAAAAAGGAACTTTTTTAGGACGTTTTAGATAGCATAGGAGAAGGCTATAACACCAAAGAATATAGCTAGTGGGTGGAAAAGGACTGGCATACACCCCTAGGATCCTAATGTAGTATTAGACTAATTTAACGTTAAGAAGGAAGAAGATAAAAAGAGACTATCCTCTAGCAACTCCACAAACTTAATTCTTACAGCTGGTGATTGGAAGAAGATAGAAACCCGGCTAAAAGAGGTGGTAGAGGATGTAGTTTAATCTAAGACCGATAGATAAGTAAGGGCTCTTACCCGGGATATTTATAAGCTTATAGCAACTAATTTACTTCTTTAAAGCTGTATTTAAGGCTACCAGGAAGCGTTTAAGATAGAACAGAGGAAGAGGAAGAGGCAGAAGAATCTCTTTTAGATTCTAGCCTCCAATAATGGTGGTAGAGCTATTATCTATTCACCTAATAAGGTGCGGCAGGCACGTGAGCTCCACTAAGAGAAGGAGGATGCTAAGGAAGCTGATATTGCTCGCAAGGCAGAGGATAAGGTGCGCAGGAAGCTAGCAAAGGATGACAAGCAAAGAACTAAGGAAATGACGAAGGCTAGCAAAGCTACTAAGAAAAAGCATCAGCTAGATGCTGAGGGCGAGAAGAAGCGCGCTGCAGATGAGGCTCATTATGCACGTGAGTTCAACAAGCAGCTTAAAGAGGAGAGCAAATTGATGCAGCAGAAGCAGAAGGCTAAGACGGTTGTATTCGCTATTCCTGAGGAGCCTTCTGCTGAGCAGGAGTGCGAGGGGGAGGATGGGGTTGTGAAGGCAACCTCTGGCCGGCCTCAGCGAATGCGCAACCCCCCCAAATGGCACGACGACTCCGTGGTGGTTATAGAATGAAAGTGAAACACCAAAAGGCTCTTGTATTTCAATTTGGTAGAAATCCATTCATATTTGATTGAGTTGTGAGGTTTCGAAGTTGGTGGTGATGCGTGATCAAAGCGTGCACGAGCCCGTAGCGTGCACGAGCCCGTGATGACTTCTAACCGATTTCCTCTCGTCAGCAAGCCCTCGTTCAACCACGTCTTTCCCAATGAGCTGGTGCTTGAGGTCGCATCATACCTTGACACTCAGTCGCTGAGTAGGCTCTCTAATGTAAACTGGCGATACTGGAACTTACTCGAAGGCGATCTGCTCAAGCGCGCAACAAAAGATGACCTCCGGCCGGCTTGCCTCAAGTTCAACATGGAAGTCGTATGATGCCTTTTCGAACACAACCTTATCGGCATCCTTTCATCGCGGGGCCTCTGGAACGCATTCGAATTCTTTTCCTTAGAATAGCGCGACCTCTACAACGGTGGACATTTTAGACGAAACAGGAGAAACTGGAAGAACTGGGATGCATTTCTCGAAATCAGTTCTTTGTTCGTCGCCAAAGCGATTGAAAATTGATGGCAAACAATATCCAGGTATGGTTCAGGTCCATTACATGGGTCCAGCCGAATTCCTGCGCTGCGTCATATCGTGCACGCTCCAGTCCCGAATTAGGGGTCATGACGGTTCGAAAACAAAGAAGCTGATCAAACAGCTTTTGGCATGTGGCAAATTTTGCAGTGCGACGTCCTTTCATCAGGTGATAGTGGAGGAGAGGAACCAAGAGTCTGATAAGATCCCACTAATCCGCATGCTCCTAGATGCAGGGGCGGATCCAAACATGTGGTGGGAAAGCAATTTCAGCAACGTTAGGAACATGTACCGGCCACTCATGATGGCTGTATGGCGAAAGCATTTGAATATAGCCACAATGCTGATCGAATCCGGCGCCGTTATCCGCGGACACGACATCTGGGATGGCGTTCCCACTAGCCCCCTTGCCAAAGCCTTAGAGAACAAGTCCGAGATCGATTTCATTCGAAAACTGTTGGAGCTCGGAGCTGACCCGAATTTCGTCTGGTCCGATTGGCGGGAGGTGAAATACCGAATTCTAGATACTCTATTCGGGAACGGGTACGCGTGTTACTATTATCGGAGCCCGGAACAGCTCGCTGCAGTCATCAGCCTGCTGTTAGGATATGGTGCTGACCAGGAGAAGACGATCCCAGGCCAGGAGGACAAGGAAGACTTGATGCGGCGACATATTCATTCTCGCTCCTTCGATACTACTTGTCAACAGCTGGAGAAAGATCCTCTTGCCCTCGCTATGGTTGCGTTGGACAATAAACTTCCTGGACTAGTGCCCAGAGTATACATTTTCTAAACACCGAAAAAGCTGTCCAAAACATGCAGGACATACTGAAAATTCCGAGAACAGGCAAGAACCTCCCTACGCTACTAGACAAGTGGAAATGTATGGAGGATAACTGGAAAGTGTTCAAAGCTGTTCCGGACACCTTCGCACCGGACTAGCTTCCTATTGTGATGGGATATCATCAGTTCTGGGACAAGTACCACGGCGAGGTTGAGCAGTTTCTGGCTCATGATTGGCCTTCTATTCCATCATGACTCGTTAACGCTGATGCCGACCGGATAGAGTAATAGTGATTTTGTTAGGGGGTGAGGATGCAGAGACGATGAGGGGATTGTACCGTTGATGTGGGTTCTTGCTTGGGCGCAGTAAAATTTAATGAGTCCGCGTAAACGTGGATAGATTGATGACTCTGAAATGAAAATGTAGTGGCGGATGCTGGACGTTGAATATGATTTGGAGACCGTGTTCCTGTGACTTTTAGTGATAACAACGACCAATGGTTGATATCAAGGTTGACCTGGAGCAGTCAAGAGGCTGGTCTTCCACGAAGTCGCGACCGCATGTCTTTGGATCCGTCGAGATGTCGTAGAGCTTGTGAGAGTGTGACTAAAGTCAGGTACTTTTCAGGGTGATTAGATTACACCAGTCCAGTTCTAGGAGCTTCTCTCTTACTATTGCTTCCTCGATAGATGACCTACTAGACGATCCAATACCATAAGCAGTGGTAAAGGTTGACTTTACTTTTGATCCGCCACCTCCCAAAGCCCAGGCTGCCTCCTAATCACGAGAAGGGGTGCTTCCTTCTGCGCGTATCTCAGCTCCATAAGAGTCTCGTGTCTTTTCCAATAGTAGTCACGCAAAGTGTTGTGAAGTTCCATCTCAGTCCGTTTTGAAAACTTCTTCCAGACGTCAAATGGACTTTATATACATATGGTAGGTCAAACCTTGCAACTCGTTTGGAGACTGTTTTGTATAAGACAGTGTTTCTGTTGCGTATTTTGTTTTCCAACACTTGATATTCAAAACTCTGTGAGCACGGTAGTTGTGCGCGTATCTATGTAATGAGAATACTCAAATGAGAAAGATTTCGCTCCAGCTGTCAAGGCCAATTTCTGCAAATCCCACGAGGTGCGTTATTGCATCCTCACCACACTCCTCCCCAGTATCCAACGCGGTAAGGCCGGCACAAATGACCTGCACTCCAAACCAACTTTGAGACTGATGATAATTTTGTCGCTTTTCTTGAAAGCTCTCATGCGCATCCGCAATCTCACGTTCCGGCCTGTAGATCTAGCGACCACCGATAGGAACCCCCTAAAGCCTTCGCGGCAGTCTTGCGCAGACTGGACCTGGCGATGACAGCATTATCGAGCCTCGGGTCATATTCTGACGAGCCACCTCATCCGTAGTATCCGCTCTTCGATTGACCACAATGTCTACCTATCTAAATTCCCACCACGGCGAGAGCAGAACGAATTCGGAACCTTCACTAGCAATAGCTTTTGTAGTTCTGTCCGGCAAATCTCCTGGCAACTGTTAACAACATCAGGAGCGAATGGTGGCCCTAATGCGATTCCAGCGTCAACCACTCCCTCCAACTCGTGAGCGACGCCGCACCGGGAGCTACCTGTCCAGGTCCAGCGCCGTGAATTTTACACGAGAAGATGACAAAACTCAGGTTGCAGCACTACAACCTAGGATCAACAACTCATATGCCAGAAAGCTACTCTCCGAACATCAGCTGTAGAGAACCCAGCTGAAATCTCAGCTGTAGAGAACCGAGCTGAAGCCTCAGCTGTGCAGGGCTCATCTGAACTTACTAGCGCGCCACCCTGGGGGTGGCCCCCTTCCTTCCCCTAGTATATATACAACTAGCTAGACGTCTATAGAAATCAGAGTTCACATCAATTTCAATCTGAGTACAAACATTCCATCGGCAGCACGACCCTTCGATATCCTCCAACGGGCAAGATGAGCCACTCAAGCAGCGTTGCCTGCTCCCCCGAGCCACTTCGACTGTCTCCGTACCACATTGCCACGCCCTACATATCCTAGACCTTCTACAATATCACGAAGAACATAATGACGAATGGCGCGTCTTCGTAGACCTAGCAATGGTTACCTCATAAGGGCCCTTCTCTGCTCACTGGATTCTAATCCAGCCTGAAAGCCGACAACGTTGGAGATCTGTAACAAGCGGTACAGCACATGTCCACCGACAACGTATAGCGCAAACGTCGATTGGCCGTCTGTGAAGAAGAGGGAAGTAAGGGGGATCCAGTAGATGACGAAGACGGCGGCTCAAGATACATTGTTCTGGTTGTCGTCAGACTTGCTAATAATCAATCAATACCCAATTAATTGCTTGCTTACTTGGTTTATAAGCAAGCAAGCAAATAAAGCAAGAGCTTCTGATTTTACTAAGCAAGCAAGTAATTAAGGTCTTGATTGCTTGCTTATTATTATTATTATTAGGTTCTATTAGGCCGATTTAGCTCCCGTTAGGGTCCATGCGGCAGTGCTATCTAGGTTTTATTTACAGATAAATGCAGGTTTCTAGTAAATACCCCTCCGAAAATGGACGTTTGTAACGCCGTTTTATGGGGGCCTTTTCCCGCTATGTCAAGAGCAAAGCCCCAACCTCGCGTAAGCGCGCCAAAGGCTCCCCCTGGTAGCAAGGTTTGACCTTGCTGCTGCAGATGCATCGAGGTTCAGCTAGGTCTCATATAATGGCTAGGTGGCTGAGAAATGGCTGCGGGAATATCGCCTACTAGATCCCGTGAACGCATTAGTGTGTAAATTTGGGAAGCTAAGCTAGGAGCATATAGATAAATCCTACAGATTTCTATTATAAACGTGACCCGTTCGACCTAAAGATCTCGCCTAGAGGCTTCGAGAGGAGAGCCTGGATGGTTAAGTTATCTACTCACTTGCAGGTGGCTGCGCCAAGGAATAACACGTGACACGAGGATCGAAGTGGTAGAAGTAGATCGTTGGAGGGACGTGGGCTTCAGTAGTATCGGAAGTGTGTAAGGTAATCAAGGAACTATAAGAGTAGCATTGCCGTTCATTATAGTTCTTAGTGCAACCTAGCTTTTTGAATCAGAATATTTTCTTTCGCATCGGCATGCAGCAAATCCGTAGGCACTTCATTTGGTTCTCCCATGGTGTCGTAAACGATAATTCCTATCTCTCAGTACATTGATTTTCAGTGGTGTTGGACTGCCTAAAAAAATCGTTTAAGAATCGGGTGAGACCAATGCTGTCCTTAAAAATAGTAGATTGCCCCAGACGAATTGCAGAACAGCGATGGAATATCTACGCAATCAATCCGACTATCGAGCTTTAAACTAAAAGAATGTCATCTGCATCTTCCCATTGCCACGTAACCATCTTCCCATACATTGCGTCCTGTAGGTAACAGAGCTCTACAAATCGATATTCCTTTCCCGAAACATGTCGAAGAATGACTGGCGCAATGCAACCACGCAAGATAAAGATTTGATCGCCCGGCATGGGGTCAGACGCCAACCCTAGCTTGTTATTCGCTGCGAGGAAAATCCTCCGTCCTTTGGCGAGATAGGTGTAAAATTGTATTGTGGAGATCAGACGGCGCTCGTAGGGTGAGATTAGGTAGTGACTCGGGTTTTCCATTCGATCGTACGCCTCGAGAAGCTCATGGGAATTCACAGACTGTTCATATCCCACACCAAACCTAGAAAGTTCCTCGGTTTCGGCCCGCCCTGCCATAATCACATTGAGTAGTTCTTCACGGGTTGCTTGGCCTTCGCTGAGTCTTTTGTCGATTGCATTAAAGTTGGCGTCAAGATTGATGTATCGACGAAGCTCGTCCACTGGGCAAAACCTTTGCGTGGAAACATAGCTAAAAGGCGGGCTCGAAGCTTCAGTGATAGTTGTGATACAGGCACCTCGCACACGAAGCTTTAGCGTGGAGCCAGACTCAAGCCAAACATGATTGAGTGTCCTCGGGTCACCATCGCCTCGTTGACAGTCTGCAGCCCATTCGTGCAAGATTGTTGATCTTCTTGAATATTGTAGCGGAGGCTGTTTTGGAGCATGGTTCCATACTGGGACCCAAGATGGGACATGAAAATCGCTACCAGGCTGTGGCCAGTGCGGACAGACGTTCTCAAGGATGTCCAAGGTCTCCGAATCGCGAATCATCGAGGCTGCGACATCGATTAAAACCTGGCGATATGGAAGTGCGTAGTTTACGGTGAGTGTAATTTGTCTCTGATGTTGCTGGCAATACAAAGGGGGTGGAGCAAATGGAAATGGAGATAAGGCTTTCGTGCCGGAAAATGCGAAAATCAGATCCCGAATATCAGATGCATGCATGGTTGAAGCAACCATCGAGAGGAATCGGCGAAAGTCAGAGAAGCTCCCTCCTTGCATACTACTCAAGTGAATGGCCCGTTCCGCTTTGGGACATTTGATTCCATACATATCTTGAAGGATGTCACAGCCCCTTTCCTGCTGCAGAGCATGGCGGATTGAGGAAGGGCTTTCCTCAGAGATAGCCGCCTGTGCTATGTGGTACAGCGACAGGAAACCGAGAGTGTGCTTCCCAGACACAAAATCTGCTCTTTTAGACGCAACGGCCTCTTGGAAAACCCAGGCTCGAGTGAACCACTGGTTTTGGAAAATGCGGATTAGAGCATTGCGGCCGTCTATGGCATCTGGTCTCTTTAAAGCTTTGAGCAACATTTCTCGCATAAGGTGTACACAGTCCCTCTTCTCGTACGAGACTTCGCATATCTCGTTGAGCTCGACGAGGTAGCAGTTAATGGGAGTGCCTTTCAGCCATACTAGAACCCGCTTACCGTGACTGTAAATCTTTCCCATAATCTTAACTTGGTGGTTCCTCTCGTTGATGCTGATCTGATTAATACAGATCTGGTCTATCCAAAGATATCCAGTGCGACAATGCCAGGAAAGCCAAGGAATCGCCTCTTGCAAATTCTCATTGATGAATATTGCGTATGATCTATCACCCGGTGTCACCCCGATGCTAAGAGTATGTCGTTGATTCCCATCACCCCAGACGTATGAAACAGTCTCGAAAGACGGGGCAGTCTCCAACACATGGTGTTCAATGCTGTATTCCCATCCTTCATGGGAGGATGATTTCGTGACTCGAAGGAGGCGGATCTCGTTCGCGTATACGAGAGGTTCGAACTTGTATCGCAGTATTCGGCCTTCAGGACTCGTGGAGATATCGGGATTTCTGGACAACGGCTGCCGCTCGAGGATTTTGGAGGCTCGTCTCTTTCTCGACGTCGTTGTCGTCATCGTTGTTTGAGTCTGGCAACCTTAGAACGAAGAGGAGGCGGTCTGGCGGTTCTGGTATGACTGGATGCGATGAAGACCAAGAAATTGTGAAAAATGGCCCATCTGCCGGGCAGGGCGACCTTGGGCCAAGGACATGAGGCTGAGGCTGTGCATGCAGGTGGTCGAGGTCGGTGTGAAGCTTGTACATCAGCGGCCTCAGGCGTCGAGGCCCAAGTAGCACTGTTTCGGATCCTCTATCCGTTAAACTTAAAACTGCTGCCGCTCAACGAGTCTCTACCTCATTGGTGATGCCCCCAAGGTCGGTTGGTTGGTTCTTTCATTAGGCGGATGTAGAAGCCTGAGGAGCTACGCCGCCCCCAAGGTTTCAAGCGACACAAGCATGGATTTAGAGGAAAACACGCTAAGCCCGAAGAGAAGGATCGCCTAAACCTGAGGGGGAGTTACCTCGAACCACTTTACAAGGGGAAACCGTTCGCTCTATCCCTTCGCACGCTGGCGTCCACACTTGGCGCCAAGCCCGTGCCCCAACGTACGCGCCAGCACGTAAACAAGCCAAATAGCTAGTTGTTATCCACAATCAAATACTCCACAATGCCACGGACATCTAATGATGTCGACTACGTGCAGAAGGACCCGAAGCCTTACAAACACCCCAAACTTCCCTACCCCAAGCCTACGCCGCTGCCTGCATTCGAGCCACTACAAATCAACAACTACGACGCGCCCGGCACCCCCAATATACCTCCAGGTCTTGATCAGCATGATCCTGTGGCCTTATTCCGCCTATTCTTTACCGATGAAATGGTAGAGAAGATGGTGCGCTGGACGAACGAGTACGCCAAGGATCACCGGCCGTCCAAAGAGGATGCACCGCTTGGCCGAGAGCGCGCATGGAGGCCTACAAACAGGAGAGAGTTGTACGCATATTTTGGAGTCGTTATTTATATGGGAGTAGTGGTGCAGCCGTCGGTTGAGGCCTACTGGGCGACCGAAGCCGGCATGGCCAACTGGCCAAGCAACTACATAGGCAGCAACCGTTTCCAGCAGCTTGATCGCTACATTCGCGCCAGCTCTATGCCAGATGATGGCTTCTATACAACATTTGACCGCGTAGATGAGCTCTCTGAGCATATTCGAGTACGCTGCCGGCAGTTCTGGGCGCCAGGCACGCATCTGGCTATTGATGAAACAATAGAGAGGTTTATGGGCAGAGCGAGCGAGATTGTGAACATTCCAACGAAGCCTACGCCCGAGGGTTTCAAAATCTGGGTTCTAGCTAATCAAGGCTACGTTCTCGATTGGCTATGGCACGCTAAGGGCAACGACAAAGGCCCCGTTGACCTTGATAATTCCTTTGTTCGCGATGGCTTTACACCAACTGAAGCTGTTGTTCTTGATCTTCTCCTTCAACGCGACGCTAATTCAAACAAGCGACTCTATCCGCCGGGCCAGCACGTAGTCTGGCTTGATAACCTCTTTAGCAGTATTAGATTATTCGAGCGACTGCGTGCTAAGGGTGTTGGAGCTGCAGGAACTCTCCGGCTTACAAAGACAAGGCGCGAGGAGTTAGATAACAAGAAGAAGGGGACAAAGGCCAAAGAGAAGCTGCCGGCCGAGGCCATTAGTGCACGGCTGGCAGACCTTGGAACAATCCATGAGCCCCAAATTCCATGGGGGACGCTCTATGGAGAGTTATCTAAGAGTCACCAGGTGATGGAAATGGCCTGGAAGGATGCTAGGATTGTTTTATTCCTGTCGACAGTTCATAATGGTAAGTTTAGTATTGTAGAGCCGCACGCAGAGCCGCTGACGTCATACATCTACAGGTCAATCATATATCTGCAAACTACGAAAAAGGCCTACCCCTACGGCTACAGGCTTTGCACAGACCAAGCTAGTGTTTGGTAATGAGTTCAGGGCTTGGCTGGACATACCCGTGCACATCGACGAATACAATTTGCACATGTGCGGCGTTGATATTGCCGATCAGCTGCGTAGCTACTACAACACCCAGAAGATTCATTGCAAAACGTGGCGGCCGCTGTTCAGCTTCTTGCTAGACACCGTCATCACCAACTGCTACAAGCTATCAAGCTACCAGCTACCGGCTGGCCGGGGTGGTAGGAAGGATACCCACCTACAATTCCGCGAGGACCTCTACGTCCAACTTTGTAAGGCCTCACAGCAGGTAAGACGACAGCGGCGTCCTAGGAACGATAGGAAGGGCACCAACGACGTCATCTGGAGGCCGGTGGCCGAACACAAGCTTGTAAGGCTGTGGAAGAAGCCTCAAAATTGCAGTGCCTGCATTGAAGCCGGTCGGAAGGTTACAAATAAGCTGATTGAGGCTAGGAAACCTCTAGCGGACTTATCGGTCAACACTACTAAGAAATTAAGGTGTAGCCAGGACTGGAAGCGACCAAATCGGTGTCGTAGGACTCGGTACGGTTGCTCGGTGTGTTCAATTCCTTTCTGTACAACACCGGGCTCAGCTACTTCTATTTGCACGGGATGGAAGGATCACATGGCCTAGCTCAACTCTCTAGACTAGCTTGTATATAGCTGCTACACGTATTTGAATTACCTTAGCTGGGTGTAGTCCTCATCACGGGGGCCAGATTCGGAGCCTCTGATTGGCCGAATCCTTATCGATAACTGTGGACGTAAATCAGCGTGCGAAGGGATAGCGGTCGGGTGAAAACCTTGTTTTCTACAGTGTATAACGCCTTGCGTTCCTTTTGTTTCTGCGCGGCTGTGGGGGACGCGTGGCAGCTCTGTGAGCAT